GTCGCCCTGATCAAGAATATATATACTTTGTGGGGTCTGCCACGCCTCCTTCTGGTTGTTACATATATTTTAACAAAACCATTATACCCTGATTTTCCATTTTCAATGGGCTCAGAATATAATAATATTTTCTAGTTTCAATGCTTTCGCAAGGTCAAGTTAGTTATTACAATTTCTCGGTACAGTGTTTTTCTCCTTTATTTTTGACTAGGTTATTCGATTGTTGTGCGACTACGAATGCCTCGAAAATTTCTGTCGAAAACATATTTAATATTTTTTCTTTTTTTTTTTTTTGCATTTTTAAACACATAAACGCATATACTTAAAGCCCCTGCTTACAGTGGGTCTAGGTGATCTTCTAGATAACTTTCTGATAGTATCCAATTTCGGTAGTACGCCACATTGGTATAAACTCCTGGATAGTCCTTTCTAGCACATCCGATGCCCCATGAGATAATACCAACTAGTTTTCCATCTCCTACCAATGGGCCGCCAGAATCCCCTTGACATGCATCTCTATTATTGCCGACAGCACATATCATGCCGTTTGAAATTGCTTTATTTTTCTTAGCATATCCGGATGCTCTGCAAGACTGTGGACTAATCATTATCAGATTCGCTTGTAGCAAATAAGGTGAACGAATTGTACGGCTATCATGCGTAGCGCCCCAACCTGAAACAGTTACAATGCTTCCTTTTATGGGTGCTTTACTTGCCAGTTGAATCGAATATGTGGTCCGACCAAATCTAAGTTTCGTACTTAAATGCAAAATGGCGATGTCGTTCTGATAAGTAATGACATTGTACATCGGATGCTCAGTAATTTTTCTTATTCGAGCGACCTGCCCTCCGCGTTTCCAATAATTGGATCCTGCACGAATTTGTGAATGCTTGCCTCTAAGCGACCACACACAATGAGCCGCAGTAACAATTACAGAAGGGCTTAAAATAGAGCCGGCACAAATGTGAATCCCACGCACTTGTAATGAAACCTGCCAGGGTGCTTTTTCTATAGAAAGGACCTTTCCTCCTACAATGCGCAGATTTTCTCGATGG